CTGGTCTCTCTCCGGTCCCTTTCCGGTCTCTTTCTCTGCTCCTTCTCCGGTCTCTCTCTCTCTGGTCCCCATGGTCCAGGCTGCGGAGTATTAACCGCACATTTGGGGCAAAAATTATGACCAAAACACTGAAATCTGACTGTGATAGATCCAGTGTGTCCTGGTCTCTCTGGCTCCCTCTGCTGGTCCTGGTCTCTCTGGCTCCCCCTGCTGGTCCTGCTTCATCTGCTGTTGCTGGTCTCTAGTGCCCCTCTGCTGGTGTTGGTTTTCCTGGCTCCATCTGCTGTTGCTGGTCTCTAATGCCCCTCTGCTGGTGTTGGTTTTCCTGGCTCCATCTGCTGTTGCTGGTCTCTCTAGTGCCCCTCTGCTGGTGCTTGTCTTTTTGGTGCCCCTCTGCTGGTGCTGGTCTCTCTTGCGCCCCCTGTTGGTCTCTCTGGTTCCCCTGCTGTATGCTGGTCTCTCTGTCTCCCCCTGCTGGTCTCTCAAGGTGCCCCCTGCTGTGCTCCTGGTGTTTCTGGTCACGCCTGTGTACTTGATGGTTCCGGATTTGAACCTGAGTGTTTTTCCGACACCATCAGCTCCGGTTTGTGACGAGGCTCCTTCTCTTCCTGCCTTTGTCCTGACTGCTGCTTCCTGAGGCTGAGGATGGGACCAGGACTTTCCACTCACATGGTCCGCGCACATGGTCCGCTCACATGGTCCGCTCACATGGTCCACTCACATGGTTCAACTGTATAAACCAGCAAGAGTCAGAACTCAACCAGTAAAGAGCTACAGTGGGGCAAAAAAGTATTTAGTCAGCCTCCGATTGTCCAAGTTCTCCCACTTAAAATAATGACAGAGGTCTGTAATAGGGTTTAATCCCGAGACACGGGATTCCCGGGAAATCTGATCAAAACTATTTCCCGATTCCCGGGAAATGTTATTACGGGAACCGGGAAATTAAAGTTAAAAAAAAAATCCAGTGCGCTCCAATTATAGAGCACGTTTATTGTTGTTCAAAGTTGAAACATATTTCATTTACAATCAACATGTCTACAGCTGAGAGGATGGCTCATAAATTGTGTTTTTGAAACAAATATGGGTCTTAATCGCGCTAAACCACGACTTGTAATGAGGCCTCAGGGTACGGGGCACATGTGAGCCCAGGATTTGGCTACGTCCAATTCTATCAGAAAGCTCCTTTCTTTTTTCCATCTGCTAAGGGCAGCAACAGGTTTGGCTAACATACATATAACACATTTTAAAATCATATAAAATGCATTTAGGGTAATGTTCTGCTTCCAGTGACGATAGGAATGATAAGGAAGAGAGGTGAAGGGTAAGAAGGTTGATATTAGAAATTGGATGCGCCCGAGAGCCGGCTGCAGCGAAAACACAGGAGTTTATGGAGGTGGCACCCGTTTTGTTTTACGCTTTAAAACTCTTTGGGCTTATTTCCAAATGGGGGATTACATATCTGCGCTCAAACTATTATCTGGACTTAAACATGAAACTGGTCTGAACCGAAGTGGTCTGTGCTGTTCATTAATAACTAAGGTAAGACCCATAACACAATTGGAAATGTGCCTTTTACGAACTTTTGCGTTTTGTTTGAGCAAACAATGCGGGCATGGAAAACATTCTGCTGTAGCCAAACTAATTGTGAATAAGCCGCTCTGTAGGTTCTGTTGATTTATATGATATATGTTCATCTGACAGGACTGAAGTCAGTGCCTCCAAACCACACGTCACTGGTCGACAAGTGGATTACAGACATTTAGAATCTCATAATAGTGAAATTCCTGAAGAAAGCCCATCAACAAAACGTCTGAAAACGCTGTGGCTACTTTAGCAAAGCTAGCAAGTCGCTCGGTGAAACACTAGTGGAGACGGCAGCTTTTGTTGGATTATATATTTGAGTGATATCATACATTACTTGGGCTAAAAACAACAACTACAAACAACAGCTATTTCCCGGGAATTCCCGGGAACGGCGTCGTCTTTTCTCGGGATTTGATATGGCTCATTTTCGGGAAAAATATTAAACCCTAGTCTGTAATGTTCATCATAGGTTCACTTCAACTGTGAGAGACAGAATGTGAAAAAAACATCCAGGAATTCACATTGTAGGAGTTTTAAAGAATTTATTTGTAAATGATGGTGGAAAATAAGTATTTGGTCCATAACAGAAATTCAACTCAATGGAAGGAGGTTCAAAATCTCACGATACATGGCCCCATTCATTCTTTCCTTAACACGGATCAGTCGTCCTGTCCCCTGAGCAGAAAAACAGCCCCAAAGCATGACGTTTCCACCCCCATGCTTCACAGTAGGTATGGTGTTCTTCTTCCTCCAAACACGACGAGTTGAGTTTATACCAAACAGTTGTACTTTGGTTTCATCTGACCACATGACATTCTCCCAATCCTCTGCTGTATCATCCATGTGCTCTCTGGCAAACTTCAGACGGGCCTGGACATGCACTGGCTTCAGCAGGGGGACACGTCTGGCACTGCAGGGTTTGATTCCCTGTCGTCGTAGTGTGTTACTGATGGTAACCTTTGTTACTTTGGTCCCAGCTCTCTGCAGGTCATTCACCAGGTCCCCCCGTGTGGTTCTGGGATCTTTGATCACCGTTCTCATGATCATTTTGACCCCACAGGATGAGATCTTGCGTGGAGCCCCAGATCGAGGGAGATTATCAGTGGTCTTGTATGTCTTCCATTTTCTGATAATTGCTCCCACAGTTGATTTGTTCACACCAAGCTGCTTGCCTATTGTAGATTCACTCTTCCCAGTCTGGTGCAGGTCTACAGTTCTTTTCCTGGTGTCCTTGGACAGCTCTTTGGTCTTGGCCATAGTGGAGTTTGGAGTCTGACTGTTTGAGGCTGTGGACAGGTGTCTTTTATACAGATGAGTTCAAACAGGAGCCATTAATACAGGTAACGAGTGGAGGACAGAAGAGCTTCTTAAAGAAGAAGTTACAGGTCTGTGAGAGCCACAGATCTTCCTTGTTTGAAGTGACCAAATACTTATTTTCCACCATTTACAAATAAATTCTTTAAAACTCCTACAATGTGAATTCCTGGATTTTTTTTCACATTCTGTCTCTCACAGTTGAAGTGAACCTATGATGAAAATTACAGACCTCTGTCTTTATTTTAAGTGGGAGAACTTGGACAATTGGAGGCTGACTAAATACTTTTTTGCCCCACTGTATTTTAGAGTAAATGTGTTTGGACTTTTACAAACTGAGAGAGACCAGAGAGAGACCAGAGATAGAGACCAGAGAGGAACCAGAGAGAGACCAGAGAGAGAGACCAGAGAGAGACCAGAGAGAGACCAGAGAGAGAGACCAGAGAGAGACCAGAGAGAGACCAGAGATAGAGACCAGAGAGGAACCAGAGAGAGACCAGAGAGAGAGACCAGAGAGAGACCAGAGAGAGACCAGAGAGAGAGACCAGAGAGAGACCAGAGAGAGACCAGAGAGAGACCAGAGAGGAACCAGAGAGAGACCAGAGAGAGAGACCAGAGAGAGACCAGAGAGAGAGACCAGAGAGGAACCAGAGAGAGACCAGAAAGAGAGACCAGAGAGAGACCAGAGAGAGAGACCAGAGAGGAACCAGAGAGAGACCAGAGAGAGAGACCAGAGAGAGACCAGAAAGAGACCAGAGAGAGAGACCAGAGAGGAACCAGAGAGAGACCAGAGAGAGAGACCAGAGAGAGACCAGAGAGAGACCAGAGAGAGAGACCAGAGAGAGAGACCAGAGAGGAACCAGAGAGAGACCAGAGCGAGACCAGAGAGAGAGAGACCAGAGAGAGAGACCAGAGAGAGACCAGAGAGAGACCGGAGAGAGACCACAGCGAGACCAGAGAGAGAGACCAGAGAGAGACCAGAGAGAGACCAGAGCGAGACCAGAGAGAAACCACATCCCTATGTTCCTAAACCATGGGTGTAGTTGGATGATTCCTGGTTTGACTCGGAGCCAGTCGTTGTTTAGTTTCCTGTTTTCTGAGCCGGGGTCAGCGCTCGGGTCAGAGGTTATTAATATAAATGTGTTTGTTTGAAACTGGATAGTGGCAGACAGGAAGTGCGCGCTGCCACTTCCTGTCCAGAGTTTGGCACCACCGTCGACATGGACCAGAATAGAACATGAGGCTAAAGTTACAGATGGATTCAACTGGGATTCAAACCATCAACAATCACTGCGTCGAGACTGGAACACACACACACTCTCTCTGGTCTCTCTCTCTGGTCTCTCTCTGGTCTCTCTCTGGTCTCTCTCTCTGGTCTCTCTCTCTGGTCTCTCTCTGGTCTCTCTCTGGTCTCTCTCTCTGGTCTCTCTCTCTGGTCTCTCTCTGGTCTCTATATGGTCTCTCTCTGGTTTCTCGCTGGTCTCTCTGGTTTCTCTGTGGTCTCTATGGTCTCTCTGTGGTCTCCTGTCTCTCTCTGGTCCCTCTGGTCTCTTTATGGTCTCTCTGGTCTCTCTCTGGTCTATCTCTGGTCTATCTCTGGTCTCTCACTGGTCTCTCTGGTTTCTCTGTGGTCTCTATGGTCTCTCTCTGGTCTCCTGTCTCTCGCTGGTCCCTCTGGTCTCTCTGGTTTCCCTGTGGTCTTTGTGGTCTCTCTCTCGTCTCTTGCTGGTCTCTCTGGTCTCTTCCTGGTCTCTCTATGGTCTCCTGTCTCTCTCTGGTCTCTTCCTGGTCTCTCTGGTCTCTCTCTGGTCTGTCTGGTCTCTTCCTGGTCTCTCTGGTCTCTCTCTGGTCCGTCTGGTCTCTTCCTGGTCTCTTCTGTCTCTTCCTGGTCTCTCTGGTCTCTTCCTGGTAACCAGTATCTGTATTATAAAGTCTCTTTGAGACAAATACATGATTTAGTAAAACGTCTGCATCAGGGAAGAACCAAACCAAACCGTAAATGTGTTTTTTTTTGTTTAGAATTTATTTTCTATAAACCATGTTGATGATGTTGATGGTGTTAGGCTTGGAGCCTTCTGGTAGTTCAGGGGGTCCAGGCCTAC